GGGGAGATAATTCTTGCAATACATGTAATAGTGCTAGAGTTATGAACCTTGCCTCATAAGATGAAGATGATGATAAGTTACATATATTTGAAGCATGAAGCTGATCCCTTTAGAAATAAATAAGTAACAGTAAAAAATAGTATTTTTTAAGGAAAGTTCTAAGTTCAAGGGGAGATAAATCTGAAAATATTGGTGCTAGAGTTATGAACCTTGTCACATAAAATGGGGATGATGATAAGGTACATAATTATATTTGAAGCATGAGGTTGATCCTTTAAGAAATAAAGAAGTAACAGTAAAAAATAGTATTTTTTAAGGAAAATTCTACGTTGAGATAAATCTGAAAATATTGGTGCTAAAGTTATGAACCTTGTCACATAAGATGTGGTTGATAATAAGGAACATATATTTCAAGTTTGAAGTTGATACTTTAAGAAATGACAAAGTTATAGTGAACTAGAAATGTGCCATCATGCCACGGATGCCCCCGCATGCAGCCAAAATTTCAGATGGTGCATTAATTTTTTTTTTTCATTTTAAGTTCAAAGCCCTTAAAACTTTTCAATGTTAACACAAACCATTTCCATACAACGTTCAAGGCACTGAAATTATTCAGTCTTAACCTTTAGAAAAAGCATATTGCATATTTGTAGCCAAAATAATGGCTAAAAGAATGAGTGCTGAAACTGAAAGTTCAAAATTTTTCCAACATTCAGGAAAGATAAGTTTGTCTAAAATCATTGAACCATGACCAAATTCAAACTTAAACTGCTTATTCTTAAGATGTATCTATATTATTTTCAAAGTGAAAGGGACATAACTCTGCCAAAAAAACATCAAACCCTGACCAAATTCCAACTTGACCTGCCCATTCCTTTGACATATCCATATGTCAAATTAAAATTTAAAATGTAACACTGTTAGGTAGATAATGAACAGAAACTGTAAATTTCATATTATTTTCAAAGTGAAAGGGGCATTACTCTGCCAAAAATCATTGAACCATGACCAAACTCGAACTTGGCCTGGGCATTCCAGAAACATATCCATATGTCAAATTTGAGTTGAATGTGTTGTACCATTGGGGAGATAATAAACGGAAACTGAAAATTTCATATTACTTTCAAAGTGAAAGGGGCATAACTCTGCCAAAAATAATTGAACCATGACCAAATTTGAACTTGACCTGCGCATTCCATTGACGCATCCATATGTCACGTTTGAGTTGAATGTGTTGTACCTTGAGGGAGATAATGAACGGAAACTGAAAATTTCATATTATTTTCAAAGTAAAAGGGGCATAACTCTGCCAAAAATCATCGAACCACGACCAAATTTGAACTTGACCTGCGCATTCCTTTGACGCATCAATATGTCAAGTTTGAGTTGATTGTGTTGTACCGTTGGGGAGATAATGAACGGAAACTGAAAATTTCATATTATTTTCAAAGTAAAAGGGGCATAACTCTGCCAAAAATCATCGAACCATAACCAAATTCGAACTTGACCTGTATTTTCTCATAACATATCCATATGTCAAGTTTGAGTTGAATGTGTCCAACCGTTCTTGAGATAATGAACGGAAACTGAAATTTCATATTATTTTCAAAGTAAAAGGGGCATAACTCTGCCAAAAATCATCGAACCATGACCAAATTCGAACTTGATCTGTATTTTCTCATGACATATCCATATGTCAAATTTGAGTTGAATGTGCCCAACCGTTCTTAAGATAATGAACGGAAACTGATGATGACGGAATGACAGAATGACGGAAGGACGGAAGGACGGAAGGATGGAAGGACGGAAGGACGGAAGGACGGAAGGACGGAATGACGGAACAGGGTAACACTATATGCCCCGGCCATTACATGGCGGGGGCATAAAAATATTTTACTGCACCAAAACTTTAATCTGAAATCTGGACGCGGACGTGGACGCCGACGCCGGGGCGAGTAGGGCAGCTCTCCATAGACTTCGTATAGTAGTATTTTATGAGGAAAATTCTAAGTTCAAGGGGAGATAAATTTGAAAATATTCGTGCTAGGGTTATGAACCTTGTCACATAAGATGGTGATGATCATAAGGAACATATAGGCTCCAGGGGCCTATATACACATGGCCCTCTTGTTCAACAATCTTGTTGAAATATGTATGAACAAATCTTTATCAACTTCAAGCTTTTATTGAAGGAATTTGAAATAACTTGGCAGAAATGATTGTTATAATAAGACAATGAGTCATGTCAACAACCAGACCCCTACCTCCAGGGTCAAGGTCGCACTTGCTCATTCAAGGTCAACTTGTCTTTTTGAGAGTATATCTCGTGTCTGGTCTTCCCTATCTCTAAAGGGATTTTGTAAATTCTTGCCACAATTGCTCACAATAATGAGAAGATGTGTCATGCTCAACAACAGGTCACCTGCCTCCAAGGTCAAGGTCACACTTGGAGGTCAAATATTAGCATAGCCTGTTACAGGGTATATTTCGTGTCCGGTCCATAACTTTGTCATTTATTGAAGGAATTTGAAATAACTTGGCACAAATGTTTGTTATAATAAGACGATGATGTGCAACAACCAGACCCTTACCTTCAGGGTCAAGGTCACACTTGCTCATTCAAGGTCAACATTGTCCATTTGAGGGTATATCTCGTGTCCAGTCTATACCTTTCTTATCTTTGAAAGGATTTTGTAAATACTTGCCGCAATTGAGAATTTCAGCGATATTTTGTTAAAATTGGGAAAAAATGTATGACTGAAAGTTTGCAGTGATTAAATGTATGCAAACAATCACTGCCTAGGATGGCTTCTTCAAACATTTAAACACTATTACAGTAAAGATTATTTTCAAAGATTTTAGAATTCTTTATTCAATATTTATATTTTTGTAACTTTCAATTGGGAATATTTTCCTTTGGATTGGGAAAATAATATACTATTTTCAATTGGGAATATGTCCCAATAACGGCTATAAAATAAGCCAAAAAATCCCTGCAAAGCATAACATGATATATTTTGAAATTCAGTATTTCATTTGATTTCTTTAATAAATTTATTGTTGCATTTGCAGATCCAGCATTGATCATAATTTTGGACTGAAAATCCTTAGATCCCTGCCTCAATCTTTTGAAATAGCACAATTTTTTGCTTCATATAAAACTTCCCTGAGGCGGGGGACGTTGGTATCTCTGTTACAAATTCTTGTTTATTTTACCAACAAGTGTTCACTTTCAAACTTTTGATCATTGTATTTTTTGTACTACCTTTTGTATAATGTTGTATTTTATTTATGTTCTTATTCTAAGATTAGCATGGCCAACTCATGAAAGTCCAAATGATGGTCAACTTTTTTTATGTTTTTTTTGTTGTTTTTTTTTTAACATTATTTACTTTATTTTTACAGTGTTCCTCTGAATCATACATTCTGTTTTAGTTAAACATGCACTTCTTGTTACTTATTTTCCCATACTTCATATTACATTGATCACGGTTTGATGTGATGGCTCATAAAATTATAACAATATCATTTCTTTGTACTTTACCTAGTAAAATATGAAAACAGAAATGCTCTTGTAAGCTAACCAATAAGATTTGTACACCTTTTAAGGATTCAATTTATAACTGGTATATTCAACAATATATCAAAACACAGGTCAAGTATGATTTCAGTTACATTCCACAAAATTTATACAACATTATGCATTCCTTACCAAATCATATGCAAAAAAAAATGATTTATAACTGATAATATTTGAATGCTTTTGAAATCTATAAAGATTTTTCATATAACTCTGGACAAAATTTAACAGTCTTTAGTGAGTTGGAGTGTAGTATGAAAAATCAGGTGTCTGTTGCAAAGATCAAGGTCACTACTTTGGATCAAAAGTCAAATAATAACTTAAAACATGAGAGTATATTTCTATATACATGGCTGGATTTTCATAACATTTATCACAAATGCTCACTTATGTATACATCTTTCTCCCCAATCTGAAGCTTTAAGGTTCAGTTCTGAATAATGGCAACAGGCTTGATATATGCTGCCAGTGGGCTTGTCTAATTATGTACATATTTTGATTACCCACTCAATATAAGCATTGTTCTTAACGCAGGCATTCAAGTCCTATGGGCACATTTCTACTTTTGACTATATTTTGTTGTATAATGTCAGTCTTGTATGTAAAAAATCCTTAAAACAGCACCTCCTATATTACTGGCCGTTTGCATTAAAGCTTCTTTCATTCAGATTGTTATAACTTGTATCACCTCAATATGTACCAATAATTTAAAGGGACTCACTCCATTGAGGTTTAAAAGCCTAAAACATAACATTTGAATTTCTACAGAAATGAGCCGGGGCACTTGATACAGAAATATATGCACAGATAGTGAAGAAATATACTTTGAAATGAATTGAAAATCAATTTTTTTATGCTTTTCTCAGCCTGATCTGCGTGATATGTGTTTAAACGCTTTCATTTTGGGTAATTTTTTTACAATTTGAATAATTATTCTTGAAAAACGAAGTGCGCAAATGATCTGAAATTTTTCTCAAAGATTAGTGGTCAAAACATACATCAAGTGGTACATTAATCTAGAAAAATAAATTTCATTCTCATCATGTCAAAAAACCTCAGTGGAGTTCCTTTTACACATTTTATCTGACAAACTAAATTTCATTATCTCCATATATTTAATCATTTATTTTTTATATTACATATATTTTTACTTTTATGCAAGTTTTGACAATAAAAGTTTATTTTAAATCATTGTTCTTTGTTTTGCTATGACTTTAACAGCATGTACATCAATTTCATACTAAAACACAATTAGTTCTATTACGTCATACCAACTGTCCGTCTCAAATGAGATGTGCGCATACCGTGACCGAGAACATTCAGTACGCATTTTGATACCGTACCGAACGGACGTGGTTCGTTTATTAGACCGAGAGTTATAATCTCTATTCCTAGATTAACGCGGTTAATCTATTTTATTTCATATTTTCTGATAAATTAGATATTGTATTTTTACAGTATCAATTTAATTTCTTTTCTTGATATATTTTGTTTATGCGAGGCATAAACTTCAGTTTTTTCTTTCGGCTTTGAGATTTTCATTCCATGTGCTTTTCAAGATGGCGGATGCCTCTACATCGGGAAGAAAAGTAATCAATCAAGGAACATCTGGTTCTAACATGACTAAAGATGTCGATAAACAACCTGATAAATTGTTGTCGTCTAGTAAATCTGTTGCGTCCGAGGGTCGTAAAAATGAGTCTCGTGGTAAAGTGTCCACTCAGAAAAGTCAACCACCTGAGAAAATAAATGACGAAGTCATTAAAATTTTGCAAGAACTAAACACTAACGTAACAAAACAAGGTTCTAAACTTGAAAGTTTATCAAAAAGGGTTGACGATTTATATGTTGAATATGATGAATATTGTTATCCTGACGACAGTTGTAATGATGGGTTTTCTGACAGTCACAGCGTCTTGTCCAATGTCAGCGAGTCTGGTGAAGATTCCCAGCCACCACGCAAGAGGGTTTGTAATGAAAGTGACATATTTAGGAATTTGTGTGACAAATTTCAGAGTGTGGAAAAATGTGACACTGAAATAAATGACGATCTTGCTACTTTTGTAAACAATTCTTTCCGCAATGGTATTGCTGATGATTCTTTGTCAAACATTGTTAAAGAAATTCACAGACCCGTTAATTGTGAGTCATTGGTGAAAACTAAGGTGAACGGTTGCATATGGCGTTTGTTGAAACCCCAATCACAGTCTGACGATGTGAAATTTCAAGCCATACAAAATGTTGTTGTGAAAGCTGCTATAAACATTACCAAATTGTTGGATAAAGAAGGGGAAAAATTAGATACCCAGTCAATTGAATGGGGCACAAATGCCCTTGCTTTGTTGGGGCAGTCCAACAAACTCATTAACAACAAGAGGAAGGAATGTCATCGTTCGGATTTAGATCCACGATATTACCCTTTGACTTCTGCAAGCCTACCGTTTACAGAAAACCTGTATGGTGATGATATTAACAAAAGTGTGAAGGATATCCAGGACATTAGTAAAATTGGTAGAGATGTTGGAAGAAATCCTTCATTTAGGCCGTTTGGTAGAAGACGTAGTGGTCGGCCAGGCATGTTTTCTCGTGGTACTGGCAGAGGTTATTTTAGGCCAGGTCATGGTTCTTCAGTGGTTCCACCACCAAAAAACTCCCGTGTGGGGTACAAGAACAAGTAAATCAGGTTAGTAATATTTTTCAGGCAGGTAGATTGAAATTATTTGAAGAAAATTGGAGAAAATTGACAAGTGATGAAAATATATTAGACATAGTTAAGCATTGTCATATTGAATTTTTAGAAGGGCATGATCCTGTCAATTACGTATGTACAAGGAATAATTTCAGTGAAAATGAAAGTAAAATTATTGATCAAGAAATAAATAAAATGATTGATATGAAAGTTTTGATTGAAGTTGATCATCATGAAAATGAATTTATTTCTCCAATTTTCTTAGTCAAAAAGAAGAATGACGAGTTTAGAATGATATTAAATCTTAAATTATTAAATGAGAGTATTGTTTATCATCATTTTAAAATGGAGACATTTGAGTCTGCCCTTAAACTGGTAAAACCTAATTGTTTCTTTGCAAGTGTAGACTTAAGACATGCATATTATTCAGTTCCCATAGCTAAGGAACAACAAGTTAAGTTAAGATTTCAAAAAGATGGGAAAATTTTTCAATATGTATGCCTGCCTAATGGTATTTCTTGTGCCCCAAGAATTTTTACAAAGTTGATGAAGCCAGTTTATGCATCACTTCGCATGCTTGGACATGTTAATTCAGGGTTTATTGATGATTCTCTGCTTCTTGGAGATACATGTGATGAATGTCATCTGAATATAACAGATACAGTTAATTTGATGGGGAAATTAGGGTTTATTGTTCATCCCCAGAAATCTATTCTTATCCCAACTAATAAAATTACATTTTTGGGAAATGATATTGATTCCATCAATATGATTGTTACTTTACCGTTGGATAAAGTTCAAACAGTTGTCCAAGAATGCAAAGTGTTGTATAGACAGAAAAAGGAAAAAATTCAGCAAGTTGCGAGGGTTATAGGCCTTATGATTTCTACCTTTTCAGCTGTAGAAAATGGTCCTTTGTTTTATAGACAAATTGAGAATGAAAAAATTTTGGCATTAAAGCAAAATAAAGGAAATTACAATGCATATATGATTATATCGGATGAAATGAAGGGAGAACTTAAGTGGTGGATTGACAATCTAGCCACCGAAAAAAGACATATTAGTCATGGCAATCCAGATTTGACTATTACAACGGATGCAAGTTTAGTTGGCTGGGCAGGTATTTGTAATGGAACAAAAATAGGAGGTAGATGGACCTCTCTAGAATCTGTTTTTCATATTAATGTTCTCGAATTGTTAGCAGTTTGCCATGCTGTCAAATCTTTTTGTTTGCACAAAAAAGACATCCATGTAAAAATTTATACAGATAATACTTGTGTTGTTTCTTATATCATGAATAAAGGTGGTATAAAATCTGAACTTTGTAATAAATATGCCAAAGAAATATGGCTTTGGTGTTTAAAGAAAAATATATGGCTTTCTGCTACACACATTCCAGGTATTAGCAATGAGGCAGATTTTCAAAGTAGAAATTTCAATGAAAATGTTGAATGGCAACTTAACAGAAATATTTTTAAACAAATTGTAAAATTATTTGAAGTGCCAATAATTGACATGTTTGCCTCTAGATTGAATAAACAAGTTGATCGATTTGTTTCCTGGAAACCTGATCCAGAAGCGGAGGCAATTAATGCATTTTCTTTGTGTTGGTCAGATGTATTAATTTATGCATTTCCTCCTTTCAGTTTAGTTGGTCGAACAGTACAGAAACTGAGAGAAGACAAAGGGGAAATGATACTGGTGGCACCTCTTTGGATAACACAGTATTGGTATCCAGCAGTAATGCAGTTGTTAATAGAAGTACCTTATGTTTTGAAAGTGACTACAGACACACTTATTCTGCCAAATACAAAGAAAGTTCATCCACTAGTAGGTCATCTACACTTAATGGTATGTCGTTTGTCAGGGAATTGTTCCTAAGTAGACAGATTTCATCAGAGTCTACCGACATCATCATGGCATCGTGGAGACATTCCACCAAAAAACAATATTCATCGTATATCCACAAATGGGTGGAATTCTGTAGTAAAAGGAAAATTGATAAATTTCAAGTTACTGTAGACAATATTATAAGTTTTTTGACAGATTTATTCCATTCGGGTTACAAGTATGATAGTCTAAATACAGCTAGAAGTGCATTATCTTCATTATGTATTACTGAAGATGGTTTTACAGCAGGTGCTCATCCTTTAGTGGTTAAATTTATGACAGGTGTGTTTAATTTATGTCCACCAAAAAGTAAATATAATGAAACTTGGGATGTTTCAAAGGTACTGTGTTATTTAAAGACATTGTCACCAGTAGATAGGTTGTCTTTGAAACAGCTAACTTGGAAGTTAGCTATGTTAATAGCTCTGACTCAAGCAAGTCGGTCTCATTCATTAAGTTTAATAACTATTGATGGTCTAAGGCAAGATCAGGATTCAATTACTGTACAATATTGCGGGTTATTAAAACAGTCTAAGAAAGGCAGAGATAATCCAGTTCTTCAATTGAAAAAATATACTCCAGATAGGAGGTTATGTGTGTATAGTGTTTTTCTTGAATACATAAACAGGACTAAACATATTCGAGGAAGTGAATCAAGACTTTTTGTCAGTTATATGAAACCACATAAAGCTGTTACTTCTACAACTATAAGTAGATGGCTAAAATCAGTTATGTTTTTATCAGGCATTGACATTAAAAGATTTCAATCTCATAGTATAAGAGGAGCATCTGTATCAAGAGCTAAATGTTTTGGAATTCCAATTAAAGAAATCATGAAAGTAGCAGGTTGGTCAAATGAAGCAACTTTTGCAAAATACTACGATAAACCTATTAAAGATAGTCTTTACGAAACTGCAGTGTTCACAGGATTGACGGAATGAATCGTGTTGGTATGTGAATGTTTATTTTTTCCGTTCATTGTATTTACATGCAAAAAATTTTTGCTTTTTGCTTTAAAGTCTCATTTGAGACGGACAGTTGGTATGACGTAATAGAATCCCCCAAATAAACTAGACTTACCTTGAGTCGACGTTTGGTTGGGATTCTATGTAGTCATACAGCAACTGGAGGGATCAAATGCCCGCCCATCCCTCCCTGAATGTGTGTGACACATTCTTTAATGCATTTTGCATTTAGTTTTTTATTTTATTGAAGCAAAAATTATTTTGCTTAATGCTTTAAATACTGAATGTTCTCGGTCACGGTATGCGCACATCTCATTTGATCCCTCCAGTTGCTGTATGACTACATAGAATCCCAACCAAACGTCGACTCAAGGTAAGTCTAGTTTATTTGGGGGATTATGTTTGAACTTACAAATATAAGCACATGATGAGCTTTTCTTGTCCTTGAGTTTAAAATAAAAAGTCTCTTCATTAACTATGATTAAATAATGCTTATGGCATGGTCTTGAATTCCTATGAAGTAGTCATATAAGTCATGGCCGATTTAGGTCAAACTGAGTGGTTCTTTGTGTGCATAATGCAGTAGTATTATCTATTAATTCACTAATTACTATATTAGTAACAGAATTGCCTATGATTTCAACTGATTATGAGTGTCACAACTTATGGGTTTGGGGCCCTGGGCCAAGAACTAGTTATCAGCCCACTGAACATGAGTAGTGCAAAAACGGAAACAATGACGTCACATTTTACGTCATCAAATCAGCTAGCTGTAGATTGAAGCTTGCACATATTCCTTTGTTTTTAATTCACACGCATTAGGTATTTCTATGAAAATTTCCTTCCAACAGTACTTTCAGTGCTTTGATTACTTGTTGGCATTCATTTTCTCAGAAGGGAGATAATTCAATGTGTACATGTAAATCACATAGTTACCTCCCTTAAATAATGTAAAATTAATCCACATTTACATGGAGTACATTTCAGATGTCTGAGTTAAAGGGTCTTGGTAGCCTTTGGGTGTCTTGGCATAGTCTTGGGGTAGTCTTTTATAATTAGACTGACCGAGAATTACGTAATGTATTAGAAAGCCAAGAAATTGTCCATAATCTTGTATTACATAATAATTTCATATCATAAATCATATGAAATTATTGTAATTTTTTTTTTTAAATACATGTATATATTCATCGTCGGATACCCACGATTGATAAACATGTTACATAACATGCAATCAACCGTGGGTAAAATGAATCGATTTGCGTCGATATACAGCAACAGGTGCGTAAAATATCTACCAATGACATCGCGTTTAACAAATCTATATTCTTCAACAGCGGAGGTAAAAAACAATAAGAAAAAAATGGCAGCGCCCACGGTTAAAAACTTTAGCACGTGTCTTGCTAAAATCAATGGCAAAAACTATCGCCAAATCAGTTCTTCTGCAAGCAGATATCAATCAGAAAGGAAAACATCACGCTGTAAAAGTGAATTATCTATACTTTCTTGCTGGAAATCGTTTAATTTTTCGATGTTGAACTTTACACGTCGTCTATGGTTGTCGCAATATTGTTTGTAATACCGACGTCGTACAGAACGAGCGTTTTGATTGGTTTTAATCACCTCATGAAATCGTGAGGCAGCCAATGAAATAGCTGCCTTTGACACACCTCTAATCGACTGAATATCGGCAAAAAATCCCACGGCTGATGAATGATAATGGTTCGGCCGTGGGTATCCGACGATGGTATATATTATGAGTTGCTTTAAATTTGTTTTTCAATATATTGTAATAATATAATTATGATAATTGAATATTGAATATTTCTTGTATGTATGATTATGTTTAATTTGTCATTTTATGAAATATTTTATTATAGTTTTGAAGAATTACTTGACTGTACATTTCAAACTTTGATAATTTGTAATTGTTCTTTATTCCTATTTCTTAAGATCTTGTAAATTTTTACATAACTCTTTTTGACACTAAAGTAGAGACAAGCTGTTAGGCTTTTAGCAAGTTTTTTTGAAACCATAAAACATCTTGATTAACACAATGTAAATACTTTAGTTTGTATTAAATCTTTGTCCAAATGCCTGTGAGATTGAGCATAAGGAACAAGGGTGCTAAAGTGACAGACTAAGTAAATTACCTTCTGGACAAAGTGATAATCTATCATGTAAGAATTTCCTTTTTCTTTGTTTGACTGATTAAGCCATATTGTTTGCAAATGTAAAAACATATGGTGCTAAAAGCCTAAATGTAAGGCTCAATGTCATAATCTACCTGTATAAAAGTCAAGACGAAAGTTAGCAAGTCACATAACGAAATTGTGACTGCTAAATAAAGTTGGAATTATTTCTTAAACTATCGTCTTACTTTTATATAGGTAAGTTCTCTTTTATTATTCTTTTCTTGTTTAAAGTAAATTTCTCATTTTGCAATAAACTCTTGTTTCAATAATTTTTATGTAGCAATATTGAATAGTAAATGTTTTTTTGTACATAGATATAATGAACATGATTTTTGTATATTCTATTATTTCTTTTAAGAGGAATCTTCAATTTATTTTGATATCATACATGAAGATAGATTTGTTTCAAGTAATGCAATTTACTGACTCTTTAAGATATACTTAACATAAGGTTTTTAAAGAAATGTTCATACTTAATATTAAGGTTTTAATTTTTGTTTGTAAATCATTATAATCTTATCTTCATGGATGCTTTCCCTTGGTACTTCTTACTTGTTAAGCGAGTGTTTAAATAAAACAGCTTTTCCCCAAAATTAGTTGTTTTTGAAAAGTATAAAATTGTTCTATTAATATAGACTAATTTCCCAATAAAATAGTTTATTAATTTGTTTTAAAGCTTAAATATTTGAAAATGAAATATGTTCATTTAGTATGTACAATATTAGTTAATTAGTCAATTGTTTATTTTGTTTTAACTTTATGTTATTTCAATCTTCTCTGTTTAATATACATAATTACATATGCATTAAAATTGTATTATTTTAATATTGATACACATTATGCGTAATACTGTATATTGACACATAACGAAATTGTGACTGCTAAATAAAGTTGGAATTATTTCTTAAACTATCGTCTTACTTTTATATAGAGATACGGGTTAAAGAGTAACGCCCCAACGACTACGGCGTCACAAATGTATCAAAACTGATCAGAAAGTCATTTTCTTATTTTAGCATCTATTTAGATTATCAAAGTTTTATAATTTTTAAACATTTTTATAAATGTAATTGAAAAATCTCACCGAAAAGGAAAGATATCATAAATTTTAACTTTCTCTCATGCTTTGTTCCTGTGACCGTTGCATTAAGGAACTCCACCAAGCTGTTTTGACTTGACAGGACTAGAATTTTTTTCCCAATATTTAAGAATCATTTGATGTAAGCCTGACCAATAACTTTAAGTGTGCAAATTTTCAGATCATTATCAAAACTTCTTATACTAGAATCATCCATTATTAATGAGCAAAATGCAAAGTGTTGCAACACTTTTTGCTCAATTGAGCTACAAGTTGCACAAAAAAAAATGGATTTTCAATTTCATTTTAGGCATTCTCTTTTGTCAGCCTTTGCATATTTTGCCATTTAAACTGCTTCACTTAATCTATGTACGAATAAATGTTTTATGTTTTTAGGTTTTTGAAGTGTCAATTTTTGGTGTTTCCCTTCAATACACTTTTAACTGTGTTAGTAACTTATAATGCATTTCATTTTCAAATTTGCCTCAATTTTGAGTTTAATAAATTTATTTTTTATATTGAATAGTTTAAAAGTAAAAAAAGCCAAAATACAAATTAAATTCTTTATTGATTTAACTAACTTCTTTATTGATTTTAACACTTTGCAATTTCAATTTAAACACATACACATGTTAATTCCCCATGGCCTAATTTGATCTGTAAATGAAGATATTTCCAATGACTTAATCAATCTATTTATAATAACTTCTTTAAAGTTTTGTTATTTATATTCACCACTTAATTATCAATTTTGACTTAAAATGTGATAAATGTGCACATGTCTAAATTATTATGGATAAACATTTATTTCTACCTTTTATTGATGGTTCAACTAAATAGTGTCCATCTATAATCACTCTACAGTATTTAGTGAGCTGTCTGTCAAGTTATTGACATCTGAAATTAAAAAAACAAATCAGTTTTTAAAAAGGAAAATAATTCTCCATGGGGTTTAATGTGTTTTAAGAATATTTGAAAAAATAACAACCACAATAAGCAGCACCCCCTATTTTATTTCTGGGATTTTTTCCCAAGTTTTAAATTATTTTTTAAAAGGCATATAAATTTTATGTATAACTTTTTTAATTTTAAAGGGTGCATTTTCCCTTTTAAAAGGAAATATTGAAAAAAAGTTAAATATAACTTAAAATTTTAACCCTTTCACTGCCATAGGGACGGCTTATGCCGCCCCTTTTATTTTCAACGTATTTGCCACATGGATTGTTTTAGACGTTTCTATAATAAATAATAGTAATAATAATAGTAATAATAATAAATTAATAATAATAATAATTATAAAGAAAATTATACTATCAACAATAATTATTATTATTATAACAGATTTGGAAACATATATAATTATTATAATACTGAAAAAATAATAATAATTATATTTATTAATAATAAAGTAATTTCTTAGAGAACCCTTTGGCAGCGAAAGGGATAAACATTGATTTTTATAATGATTGATTTGTTTTATTTTTTCCTTTTTCATTGGTTTGGTTATATGTTAATTGCCCCATATGGTTAGTTTCCAGCTTAAGTGGTAAAGGATTAGCCTCAAACACTGACATTTTTGTAAACTAGCAGGGCAGCTTCCTCACAAGAAAGAATTAAAATCCCTTTCATGATTCAAACCAAACAGCAGGTGTGTACCAAGTGGTTTGAAATCAACCGGTTTTAACAAACTTGGTCACTTAAAAATGTATTTGCAATCATATCAATATATATACTTGAAAATATATTGCAAATAATAATTGAAGTATACCACAATTAGTTGTAATACAGTGGCTTGATACTAATGTTACTTTAAAAAAGTGATTCCCATGTACCTGTCGAATTTAACTTTGAACATGCTTGTACTGCAAATGATTTGTCTTATTTAGTTGCCACCATTAAGAGCTGGTCAGTCTGCACATCCATACAATCTTATAAACTTACTTGCATGATTTCAGTCGGCCATATTCCCTAGCTTAAATGATCCCTGTCTAAAAATTCCACCAAATCATTCCCCCTTTTAAATGAACTCAAAGAAGGACCTTTTCTATAGATTTGTATTTTTATTAATTCAATTTTTTTGTCAGAAA